TGGATGACTGACCATGCCTTAGTACTGTCGTTTCCTTATCGCCTTTCTACTTACCTTTATTTCTTCTATTCTACCTCAAAAATTCACAGTACATAGAAAAATAAATTCAAATTATTAATAAATCTATGCGTGTTAGGGAATTGATCATGTTAAAGTATGCTGTGACGCCGCCTCACAGGCTGCATTCTCCTGGTACATCTTGGCTCCTAAAATGACCTCATGCCCTTATCTCCGGTTTCCCTCCCCCGCACGGCCACAGTGGTCCAGGAAAGTTGAAACCTGTGTCTGCAGGACTGGGCCCATGAAAGCAATCTGGCCTGTGATAGGTTAAAAGTAGCTCACTCCTCATAAATAAGTAATAGCCCACCCCAAAACTGATAAAAGGACCTTCCTTTCTTTGTTCTTCTCTCTCTCCTTCTGCTTCTTCTTCCTCTCTCTCTCTCTCTCTCCCTCTGCCTTCCTGCCTCCCACTTGCCTCCCTACAATAAAGATCTCCTGTCGGACCTCTCGATACGTGAGTGGCCTAATTGGGAAGGGACACCCGAGACCCCTTTCAATGTGAAGATGATGTTCTACTTCCCTCATGTCCACTTTTTATTTAGCAGACTGATACAAAATCAAGCAGTCTGATGGCCCTCAGTGGATGGCTTTTCCAAGGCTCAGTCACTCTTTATCTGTCAGGGGATCTTATCAAAGCCACAGCCTAAATCCAACCTATAAATTTACATTGCTCCATCGGGTTTTTTCTGGCCTCACCCTCGCCAACCTTTCTCTTGCTTTTATACTTCTCAGGGAAGGAGCACTGGGGACAAACTTAGGGTTCATCATGTTTGTGGAACTGAAATTCCAGGTGACGTAGGACCCAGCACCGACATCTGCATCTCTCTTCAGAAACCTTTGAACTATCACAATTCCCTGACCACCCACAGCCAGCTGAAAAAGCCAAGCTAAATTTATATACACATTAGGGCAAACGCAGCAGCAGCAGTAACAAAGAGCCGGAAATTCAGAGTTAAGTCTTAAACAGAGTATTGTTCCTCACACAAGGAAGGGTCAGAGGAAGATGGGCTATGAGGTTGGAATGTGATTCAATTGGAGACTTCCTCCAAGGGTGCCTGCCAGAGGCTGTGACCTTGGAAAGAGGGATTTGCTCAGATGGCTGATTGCAATTCTGGCTTCCCCATTATTATGGAGAATGTGAGGAGTCCTTCTGGGCTCCAAAATGCCTTGTAGGAATCTTTATGAGCATCACACACCGTGACGCCTTGAGAATGCACACTGATGGTCACCCTGTCTTTATAGAAGGGAAAGAGCAGGAAGGGAAGAGGGCTTCCCAACATTAGCCGGTGTCTCAGGCCCAGAGCTGAAACACCTCATACGTTATCACACCAAAAGAGGAGAGAGGGAGAAAGGGACAACGAGAAAGAACAGATTTTGCACAAGCAATTACTAATGTGGAGTTGCTCTTTGGAAGTCTAAAACATTCAAACCTACTCAACTGTGCAGACAGGGTCACTCTAAATCAGCACTTAGCAGAGAAATCACTTTGGGAAATAAAGAGTACATGGGATGTCTGTTAACTACAAGGAGCGTCTGCTAAAGCGTTCAGAGATATGAACACTGCTGGACTCTCTGTCCCAGCTGGGACAGGCGCCTCCCCGGCCCTAGTCACATTGGCCACCAGACAGTCTGTTTCCCTTCTAGCCACAGCCTCATGCTTGGCAGAATGTTCTGGATTCTCCTAAGACCCATTAAACGCCTAGGCAATGCTGTCCCCATCAGTGGGATCAAGCTTGTCCCACAATGGAGACCCACCACGACTTCCTGCTTGTATCTAAGGTCCTGTGCCTCAGGCCTCTACCAAGCCGTAGTTCCTCGGCCCCTGAAAGTGACACCCCCCCAGCCAGAGAACATCCCAGGCCTCTTCTCACACAGTGAGAAGACCAAGCCAACCCACGTGCTCCCTAGACCCTGATCCGAACTCACTTCCTTCTCTAAACTGTCCTATTACCTCCAGGGGAAGCTGGGGCCAGGCGCTCACCCTCAGCCTGCCCTTCCTTACAGCACTTCCCACTGCATGGAAATCACCTGATGACCTCCTTCTCTCCCTCCCCCTGGGCCGGGGCTCCAAGCCTAAACTCTACCCCGCCTATGTCCCCGTGGTCATGATTACTCCTCCCAGGTGGGGATGGATTCAGCAACCCGCGGGAGCCAAGCTGTTGTCTCAGATGAGGACATGAGGGGTCTTGGAGAGCAGTGCAGGAAGAGGACTATTGCACATGTGGTTTGGTTTGGTTTTCTTCGTAGTACTGCAGTTGGAACGGAGGGGTGCTCCGCCTTAGACTCCCATTCCCCCATTTTTGGGCAGCACTGGAGATTGAACTCAAAATCTATATACTCAGTTACATCCCCAGCCCATTTTTCATTTTTTGAGACAAGGTCTCACTAAATTGCCCAGGTTCAGACTTGTAATTCTCCTGCCTCAGCTTCCTGAGTAGCTGCAATGATAGGCGTGGCCCGCCATATCCAGCACAAGTGGTTTCTTGAGAAAGTGTCTCCAGGAGAAACCTGTGAGGCAATGTGGGAGTCAGGGCCAGGTTGGAGCTCAGGGACGACTGGGGTCCAGCTGGAGGCCAGCCACAGCCTGTCCCAGGGGCACCAGGGTGTGAAGAACAGCACGATGGAGCAGGAAGGTCCAGCCGGTTCGCCTGGGCCAGCCCTAGGAGGAGAGGTGAGCAGTTCTCAGGATGAGGGGCAGCTACCAGCCATCGGGGCAACACTCGCTATTTGCAGTAGACAGAGGACTCCCTGGTAGGGACAGTGTCACCCCACCAACCACATATGTGGAACTGAAGTTCGTCCTGCCAAGAAAGCAGCAGCCAGGCTGGTGCTTCGTGGGGACAGACCTGCCTGAGCTCAAGGCCCGTCGAGCGCCTGTCACCGCCACTCTAAGGAGCTATTTTCCCTCATTCTGTTTCCAACCTCTCACACGGCCCCGGAAGCAATGAAGGGCTGTCCACACCCTGGGAATCCACAGGCCAGACCTCCAGTGAGCAGAGCAAATGCCAAGCAGCTCTGGAAGGCAGGACCTCTCCCTGAAGACAGGAGAATCCCCCATTCGTCCTTGGCCTTGGTTCTTCCCAACGCTGGCGCCCTTCCTTCCTGCAGTCAGGGAGCACGGACACCAGCTCACCTTCACCTTTCTGTCCCAGCCCCAAGGCTCAGCATCTCTCATCTTCTGTGCTGACTGGAAAAGCCCCAGGGGAGAGGAGCAAAAGCAGAACAGAAGGGCGCAGCCCCAGTAGGAAAGTCCAGAGTGACGAGGAGGAAGAATCCCTTCGGCGACTGCTTTTGCTTTTTGTTTCCTAACACGCACTGGGAAAAGGGAGACGCGGCCTTGGGGAAAGGAGGGCTTTCTCTGGAGAGTTCCCAAGGTGGCCGACTCCACTGAGGCACCAGCCAGCGAAGGAGAAGGCTCAGAAAGAGTCCCCTTAAACCAAGGTGAGAGTGAGCAATGGGAGGGGCGGAGCAGCGGGCCGAGAGCCAGGTGACCATCCAGAGTACGGGCTACTTCAAAACATCCTGCCGACACCTGACCCTCTGGGGCCTACCCCAGTCTTGCCAGTCTATAAGCAGGATGCCCAGAACCACTGAGATCTGGCAGGGACAGTGCTGTGTGGACTGAGAACAGCACCAGATGTACCTCAGAGCAGCCTTTGAAAAAAGGAAGGATTGGAATTTTCTAAAAGCAAAAGGGTATTTAGCAGCCCCTCCCTATTATTAATATTTCCAAGGAAAAAGGGGACAGTGTGGGTGTCAGAGGGCCAGTGTATGTGGGCAGAGAGCTGATGGAAAAGGGGACCCCTTCTTATGGACCAAAGCACCGTGTCACAGATGCCAGGAAGTCAGATGTGGCCCCAGGCCTGATGCAGAGGAAATGCGCACTGGAGGCGTGCAGCTTCCCCTTTTGGGGCCCATCCCTACCTCTTCTCTGAATCCCAAGGACAACCTGGATCACCCAGGTTAGAGGGGAAAGTTCTCTGGCACTGTGATTCATGCTCCAGTCAAGACTCCTAAGGGAATCGGTTTTGTAACCAAGCATCCACAGAGCAGGTAGTCCAGGCCCTGAGCCTCACTCGGGGCCCTCACGTCAGGGCAGGAGGAAGTGCCTATGGCAAACAGGAAACCAAGCCCCATTGCGCCACACAAGGAAGGAGACTTAACTGTGGGCTGGGACCCTGCCAAGATGCAGAGTTGACAAGAGATTCTGTGTAGAGGTTTCACCCACTTGAGCCTGCCCGGGGCAGGAGCAAAATTCAGGTGTCCTCTGAAGACGAGGGACCCCCACAACTGGCCAATAGAAGATGACTTCCCAGCCGGGCTGTGTCCTCTCTGGGCCCTGTTCACTCCACAGGACAGTCAGGGCAACTTTCACGCTGCCGATAGAACAGTCAGGAATAATGGGCAGCAGCTACCACCCAGGAGAGCTTACCCTGGGCTCTCTATGCACCTGCTTTGACTCATGTGATTCCCACAACCACTCCACTGAGAGAGAAATCTAAGGCAGGGGTGTAGCTCAGTGGCAGAGCGCTCGCCTAGCACATGGAAGCCCTGCCTGGGTTTGGGCCTCGGCACAGAAACAAAAATGAACGCTCATTATCCCCACTTTACAGGTGGGTCAGCGGGGGCCTGGAGAGGCTCAGCGAACTTGCCCAAAGATGCAGCTCCAGCAAGGGCAGAGCTGCGCTCAAACCCAAAACCACCCAGCTACAAAGCAGAACTCTGTACAACACAGCTTCCCTGGGTGAAGGGGAAGAGGTTTCACCCGAATATCAACTCCCTGTCTAAGGCTGGGCCCTGCTGGGGTGCGTGTCAGAGAGCCCCGGGTTTGGGAAAAGCCCTTGCTTTGCTTCCTGACTCAGTGATCCAGGATGGCGCGCGAGAAGGTGCACACACACCTCGGCCCCCCGAGGAACCCCAAGGAAAGGCTTCATTCTCACCATCACTTTGCGGATGAGGCCCAGGACTCTTCCTGTGGTGCTGGCTGAGGTCTAAGTGAGAGGGACTTGGCCTAGAGGAGGGAGGAGTGAGGGTGGCTTCAGGGAGCGGGAACAGGCGGGTGCAGGAGAAGCACGTGGGTTGCCCTCCAGGAGCCTAGTGGCTGCAGTCACAGAGCCAGTGACCCTGTCACACAGCAATGTCTAGAGAGTGAGCCCTCCTCGCCCTGACCCCCATGAACCTTCCCCACTCTGCACACCCCCAGAAAAACCCTCAGTACTGTAACACCCAGGCAGAGGCCCTGCCCAGGCCACCTTGCACTTGAGGGAGGCTGGGCCACATGCAGAAGAGGAACGGAGATGCCGCAAGCAGGCACAGGTTGGGATCCCTGGGCGGGTGAGTCTGCAGCACCCCCACCCAACCCTTCCCCACACCTGGGCCCTGCCTGGGCCTGTGCTCTGGACCTTTACACTCCGGTCTGACCTCCCCAAAACCACAGCATCCGTGGGTGATCTGAGGACATGATGCAGGACCCCTGGCTAAAATGCCTGCACCCTGCTCCATTCCGGGGTCCTGGCCAGGTAAGTCACCAGGGAAGCCATCAGGCATGGTGACACTCAAACTACTTCCCCCCAGGCCACTTGTTCTCCAGGAGCCCCCACAGGTGTCCACAAGCCTTGGACCTTTGCGGTGGTTATTTAGGCTGAAACCCAAAGGCCCTTTCCTTCATGTCAGAGAACTAGGAAGGCAGTGGGGCCACAAATGGCAAAAGGGAACTAAGCATTTCAGTCAGAAAAGGCTGTGTGAGTGGAGGTGAACAGATGGTGTGCGTGTGTAAGGGAGAGTGTGAGTAGTACATATAGCCGCGCATTGCCTGCGGTGTGGTGTGTGAGGGGTGTGTGTTGTATGTGCACCTGTGGATGTGAGGGGTGGTTGGTGCCAGCGAAATCAGAGGGACTATTTTGCCCTCTCCTTTCTCACCACGAGCAGCACTGACCTCCTGACACCCGCTGGGTGGGAATTTCAGCAATCAGTTCCGCAAAGGACACCAGCTGGCACCCCTGCACCCAATCCAGGTCTTATTCTGTCTGCCTGGAGTGGCCTCAGATCCTACCAGGCAAGGACTCGTGACCAAGAAGTCCTCTCAGGCCTCAGAGGTCAGTCGCAAGCCTCAGGTTGTTAACTTGTCTTTCTGATCTCCCGACTACACACCGGGGTTCCCACAACCCCTTCTCAGGTTTGATTAATTTGCTACAGTGGCTCGAGGGTCTCAGGGACACTTCCTCACACCCTCAGATTTCTTATAAGGATACTACAAAGGCTACAGATGCAGAGGCCCAGGCACACCTGGGGGAAGAGGCTCGAGCTCACACCCTCTGGGTGCTGCCTTCAGGGACCTCGACATATGGGCTCTGGAAGCCCCTCCTCCTCCCCTTCCTTTGGGGGCATCATGGAGACCTCCAGGCAGGGCCACGACTGGACAGAAAGAGTGGGGCCTGCTGCTAACAGCCAGCAGGGCCTGCTTTCTTCTTGGCCTCTCTGCAGCCATCTCCTGCTGGGTCTGGGAAGGACCCAACAGAGTAAGAAGGGTCTTTTAACCTACAGTAGGACCAGGTTGGGCAGGGAATTTAGATTCTGCCTTAGATAGACCAGAGATTTAGACAGCTGAGCCCCTACTATTCCTACAGATATGAAGTAGCCCCTTTATCGACAGCAACAAGAGGCCCTACAGAAGTGCACCTTGTGGCCCTTCATGAGGAATCCATGTGACTGCACTGGCCCAGTACAGCACAGATGAGGGGATGTTCCCTGACCTGTGCACCTCAAAACGAAGGACTATTGCTGGGTAGCTTTAATGGCTGCCGTTCCCCCAGTGACCTGGGGAAGGACCAATTAAGCTTCCTTCCAGTCCAGTAATTAGGGATGTAAGTGGAGACCTGGTCCCCTGGGAGGGCCTAAGGTCTGTGTCCCTTGTCCTGTGTGTGGGCCGCTCCCTGCCGACGTGCTGACTGATCCCAGCAGGTAAGGAGGGGCTGGCTTGGTCCCCCGTTTCCTCCGAGCACGAGTTTCTGTGATGGCCACACGTCCTGTTTACTCGTGGTTTCCAAGTGACAGGCTCCTCTGAGCTTCACCTCTGACCTCATATCCACTTCCTGTAGGGAACCCCGGCACTTCTTCCTTTTTTGGTGCTATAGGCTGAGACTCGCAGCTGAATGCACAGAGATCTTGGGGTTTTTCTCTCCTTGCTCCCTGGGGTCAGTGTTGGAACCCCAAAGCCAGGATGGCTCCCTCCTCCATCCCAGCAGCAAGCAGCTTCCTTGGACTTAAGGGACAGTGAGGAGGAAAAAGCGAGAAGGACCCAGCATGCCCTGTGCCCCCTGGGTGACAGCCACCATGGGGCGTTGTGTCTAACTCTCTTTAGCCCGCTGACACACCCAACAACCTGCTCGGGGAAATTCACCCCCACACAGCTATCCCATCCTTCCCGGAGCCAGACAGAGGGGCTTTCCACAGGCCTGCAAGAGGCTGAGGGGAAACCTTCACAGCATCGTATTCCCACCCTCCCCTGTCTGTCCCCTGACCAGCGGACAAAACCAACAGGAAAATCAGGGATGAGAAACAGAACTCGTCCGACATAGCCTTCAGTGGCTGTGTTTATGGAGAATCTTTCTTTACACTTCCTTGATTGAGCGGGATGAAAAGAGTAGCCGCCCCTGGACAGAGGAAAATGCAGAGCCCTCCTGAGAGCCCTCCCCAACTTCACTCTGACCAGCATCATGGCGCTCAGTTAGGGAGGAACTGAATGTCTCTGCACTGCACAGCGCTCTGGCAGAAAAGCCGCTGGCCCATCCCATGAGCCCAGAATCCAGCCACAGGACTTGCTCCCCAGTCCTGTGGCCCACAGCTCCCTCACCACCTTCCACCTCCGTGGAGACCTGAAATGCTTACTCCCCTGTTCTGCCTCCATTCACCATGCACCCAGTACCACAGTCCTCACCTCCAGTGGAAGATCCGACCTGGAGCTTTGGGAAGGGGGAACCAATGACCTGAGGCTACTGCTCCTCTCTCTGGAGTACTCGGGACCAGCAGCTAAAGCCCTCTCAGAACCCAGGGCCACAATGTAATAACGCGTTTGTTACAGGGTTTGGGATATACAAGAGACGTTTACAGTAGAAAAAGTGAGGCTTTCTCAATCTTGGGAGCGATCTCAATGATCACACATTCACTTGGTTAGACGTCGCTCACTAACAGCAGGCCAGCCTCTGGGTCCAATGCATGACAAGCCACAGGCCACCCTCCCAAGCCCACTGCCACATGACTCAGCAGCAAGAGGCCTGGGGCCTAAGGCCCAGCCGCCGGCCACCAGCAGCCAGCAGGCCACAGCCATGGTCAGCTCCCAGCAGCAGGGCCACGTTCCTCAGCCCAGCCACCTGCATTTGCCCTGTCAGGCAGGGATGAGGCAGAACAGTGACACCTGCGCCAGGGAAGGAAGGATGCCAGGGCCCTGTGGAACCGCCAGAGGCCAAAGAGTATGACGCCCTCGCGGGCTTTGCTTTTTTTTCTATTATGTAAGTATATGAAATCTTTTTATGCTTTATTTGAAAAATATAGACAGGCCAAAGTACAATTCCACTTATATACCTAGGATAGGCAAATTCATAAAGATAATAAGTCGAATAAAAGTTTCCAGTGTTTGCGGGAGAAGAGAAAGGAGATTCTTGCCCAATGAGTACAGCATATCTCTTTGAGATGAGCGGGAAGTTTTGGAAATGGTAATGATTACACAAGATTGTGAATGTACTTGTGGCATGGAATTGTACACTTAAAAACTGTTAATCTTATGATGTATATTTTACCACAATAAAAATTTGTAAAAGATTACATATGAAAACAAAATGATGGAAATCAAATCTCCTAAAATTCTAGCAGCCAATCACCATACGTGAACATTCTGCCATGCACCCTTCTAGATGCAAATATAAATGGATGAAATATTTTACAAATATAATACTCTTTGGTAACTTGAAACATATTTCCATGTTTACAGATATATACCTGTATCCTTTTTTTTTTGGTACCAGGGATTGAACTTGGGTCCTTGCACTTTCAAGGCAGGCCACCGAACCGCTGAGCTAAATCCCCAGCCCCTATATCCTTTACTTTTGAAGCTACATGAAGGGATTTCAATATATAGATATACCAAAATTAACTTATTTATGATTGTAAGGCATTTGGTCTCCACTTTTTTTTTGGTGATGCTGTTATCATTATTAATAAAATATCCAGAGCAAAAAGTACTACAATAAAACCATAAACTTATGATTCTTCCTTTAAAACAATGCTTTGTTCTGAGCTGGGGAGAATGAGGTATGTTTAAATCATTTCCTTTGTTGGGCTGACTTTCTCATCTGCATCCCAGAAAGTGACATCTTACTAAAATCAAGATTATATCAGGACAGCCCAGTGTGTTGTGCACGCCTGTAATCTCAGCACTCAGGAGGCTGAGGCAGGAGGATCGCTGTGAGTTCCAGACCAGCCTGGGCTGGGCTACATAGTGAGTTCCAGGTCAGTCTCAACTACATAGTGAGACCCTGTCTCAAAAAAACAAAGAAACAAAATAAAGTATAATGTTGAGGGCCAGGGGCTTGCCTTGCAAGTGCAAGGTCATGAGTTCAATCCCTGGTAACAAAAAAAAACTTTAGGGACTGGGGATTTAGTTCAGTGGTACTGCTGCCTGCCACACAAGGTCACAAGTTCAATCCCCAGTACCAAAAAAAAAAAAAGAATAATTCTGCAAGGGACACCACTATACGCATGTCCAATTATAGCATTAAGATAAGAATTCCTATGTGTAGAATTTCTGAGTCAGGGACACCCTTGGGTGGGTTATCAACAGAGCAGTAAGAGGAAAACTACACTAGGGGTATCAAATTCAGTTTTTTAAAAATTTCTCTCTATAATCTGGTCATGGTGGCACACGCCTATAATCCCAGCACTCGGGAGGCTGAGGCAGGAGTATTGCTGTGAGTTCGAGACCAGCCTGGGCTACATAGTGAGTTCCAGGTCAGTTTCAACTACATAGTGAGACCCTGTCTCCCAAAAAAAAAATCTCTCTCTATAGACCAGCCTGGGCTACATAGTGAGTTCCAGGTCAGCTTCAACTACATAGTGAGACCCTGTCTCCCAAAAAAAAAAATCTCTCTCTCTATATATATGGGCTTTGCATGTATTCTGCTTGGGTTTCTGTGAAATTTCACAGTTGTTCAGAAATTCCTTTCCATAAGAAACCAGCTTCTTTCCAACTCTCCTCCTAGGCCTTCTTTGGAGACACACCTTGCCTGTGCCAGAAAATGCAACTGGAACCTGAGAAGGGGAGAATTATATTGGGTGAATGTCTTCTGCATTCCCTGGTCCAGCAGGAAAGAATCTCGGATGGCCCGGTGTGGGAAGCCCAGTGGTAGGTAACACAAGTGTGGCTATAGGAAATGTTTTTTTTTTGTTGTTAAAGATTTTGTTTTTAAGTAGACAAAAGGAGGATGCAAGGGACTCTTGGAGAAACTGAGGCTTTAAGAGAGTCTGTAACTCTAGAATAAAGCTTGTCTTGGGTTGGCTTCTCCCTGAAGTAGATGTACGTGAGTGTGAGAGGAATGGCTGAGTGAGGCAGGAAGGGGAAGAGAAGCCGAGGAAGGGAGAGCTACTGCTATGAGCACCTGGGAATCGGGAACTTTAGAGACAGCGTGGAGCACATCGCAGTGATCCTCACAGAGAGGTGAGGAAGCTGTGATATTTGTCATCACTAGTGGAGGCCAAGAGAATGCAAGCAGGGCACTGATCGTGATTATTACATTACCCCGTATCCTGCTGCTAGCAAAGACTAGAGTGCAAGTCAAACTCTGAGCCAATATTCTTTTTTTTTTGGTACTGGGGATTGAGCTCAGGTCCTTGTGCTTGCGAGGTCCAAGCCAATATTCTTCAGTCACACTTACAGCAATAAGAACTAATCATGAAGACACAACAGAGTGAGCTGGGGGCAAAACACCATGGCAATGAAACGAGCCTATTTGGCTAAATCACTTGGGGTTGGCATGTCCAAAGACAACACAAAAATCTGTCTGCTCAAGTTTTATCAACTGAAGGGAAAGGAGAAGCCTTTCTAAGTCACTTTGCCCAACCCTCCGGGTCTCTGTCCTCTGAGAGAGATTTCCCTTTCTAGTTCAGCCCCAGCTGCCTCAGGCAGAGTCCTGCAGCCCCAGCTGTTAGCCCAAACAGCTACACCAGGCTCAGGGTCTGCCATCCAAGGGACCACGAAGAATGACCCACTGGGGCTCAGCCTGTTGGGTCTAAGGATGTCCCTGTTTACTGTACCTTCTGTCTCACCCACTGACCCACACCCTCCCAAGGCTGCTTCCTCCACGGGAACCTACAAGCAGGCCAAATAAACAAAACTAGCAATCACAAGCTTGTGGGAGCTTACCCCACTTTAAGATCTTGTAAAAATTCTTCTGGGAGGCAAAGAGGTATTTAACTAGGACATTGGAATAAATAACCGGACCATACTGTGAAGAGTGGCAGGCAGAGCAGGAGGTGCCAGGAGGGTCTGCTACCCTAGGTTTATAAACCCAGCTGGGAAGCTTTCAACAGCCATGACTTGAGGACAGAAACTGAACACTGTGTTCATTCCTAGAGCCATTTGTCACAGGCTGGTGACACTCAGTGCATATCCCAGCCTCTTCTTAAACTCTCTGGGCAACCTGGCCCTGCCTCTACACCCCCAAGTCCCAGGCAGCGAGGACACTTCCTGCCAAAATATCCTGAAGAGGACTGAAAGTATAATCAAGCCCAGGTTCTTTCCTGCCTTAATGACAGGTCCTCTTTCTCTCCAGCCCCACAGCCTGGCCCTTTGAGGCAGCTGAGGAGCTAAGCTGCTCAACCTGGGACAGCTCTCCAGCCAGCCCCCCAGTCCAGAGTGTGAACGAGAGGTCCGAAGGCTCAGGGCACAGGACGTGGCCGAGGAATCAAAGCCAAGCCCATGAAGATGCCCCACATGGCCAGGGCACCACAGAGTACAGAAGAGAGCCGAGAGTGAAATTCAGTGTGGAGTCCTCTCCACTCCTACTAGCTCCTGTGCTGTGCAAAGCCAGGGAGCGGCCTGGACCTCCAAACTGCAGCTGCACAGTGACGTAGACAGGTGAACTGTGGAGCCCCAGGGGCAAAGGGAGTGCACTGCGGCAGTACTCCAGCCGGGGGACCCCCTTCCTAGGCCTCCTCTCAGTGGGCTCCTCAAAGTCATCATTCTAATGGGGTTTCAGTAGCACAAAGAGGAAGACGGTAGAGTCCTTGGGAAAGATATGTCTAGCTGCATCCAAAGCTTTATCCTGTATCCCCGGTACTCTGCCTCTGCTCTTCATGCCAAAGGAGGAGTAGAGTCTCGCTCCCCAGCATGAAGAATCCCAGGCTGTACCAGCCCACATCCCCATGTGCCCAGGTGCACCCCACACTCTGCCCACACCTTCCCCCAGGGCAAGAAGAACCCCTGGGTCCAAAACGACCACACTTGTAAAGCTCAGCCATCTTTTGAGGCCCTCTTCAACCTCCCGAGGCGCACTGCATGCCCTGTCCAGAGGACAAAACACAGCCACACTCTTGGCCCTACTCCAAGGGTCTCTGAACCCAGACAAGCACCACCCAGGAAGACAACACAGCCCACTTCCCCAACCCAGTGTAACTTAGCCAGGGTTTGTTCAACCCTCAGGTCACCTGCAGGAAAAGTTTCAGACTGTTCCTCACAGGCTCTGGAAAGAAGGTCCCAGCTGGTCTCTGGATGTTTATAGGGATCTGGGTTTCTTTCCCGTCATTGTACCAGGACCAGCTGTGGCCGGAACCAAGTCTGCCCAGTGGCAAATTACTGTCAGCACATTCTTTCACACATTAATTCATCACATGGAAGGTACTTACTATAACCCCTGCTGGCTGTGGACGCAGCCTCTGCTAATGCGCTCTTGTGCCCTGGGCTCCAGCCTCCTGGGAATAAAGTGCACATAGCCGTTTAGAAGCCGGGCGCTCAGCTTGTCCCCGCGGCACACAGGTGCTGTGGACAGTCCAGAACCCACACAGCTGTCCCCAGGTCTCTCCTGGCTCAGAGCTGAGCGCAAAGTAAGCACTGGAAATGCAGAAGTGGTCCTGCCGCTCAAGGCACCTGCCTCTCTCTGGTGCAGGAGAGCCAAAAGCTAGGTCCCTAGCCACCTCAGCCCAGCTCCGGAGGCGGCCCGAGACCGCAGCGCAGGGAGGAAGTGCCCGGAAGACACAGGGCCCCGCGTCCCCACTTGGCTCTGGGGCCTCCGACCCCGCTCTGGACCGTCCATCGCCCGAGGAGGAAGGGGGCGGGTTGGCGCGGACACTTCCCGGGCTGTGGCGGCCTGCCTAGCCCTGCACCTGCTGCTCGGCCCTGCCTCTCCAGGGAGTCCCCGAGACCCTGTCTGGGGTGCGAGCAGCTTCCCACCGCCACCCTTGGCCGCAGAGGGAAGAAGGAACCGCGGGGTCAGAGCGGAGGGTGAGCTCCGAGACGCAACTTTCTTCGGCCGCAAGGCGGGGCGCGCTGGGGCTCCGAGCCCATGCGGCCCTTGGGGCATCCGCACACCCGGGACCACCCCGCGGCTGGGGGAGAAGAGACGCGACCCGCTCAGGAAGAGACAGAGGAGCTGAAACTTTGGGCGAGGCGAGGGGACGAGAGGAAGAGGACCGCGCGGCGCCCTGCACCTTGCTCCCAGAATCGCGCGCCCCGCGCCCCG